AACATCCCCAAAGATTTCTGCTTTCTAGCTTCTCAGATCCCCGAGTTATGAACTTACCCGGAAAAACTTTGGTGGGCCCGTACGCGGATACCACGCGGGTAATGGCGCTCATTCTGGGGATTGGGGCCAATACGTGCATGTAAATTAAGTTCCCGAAATTTCAGCCCTGCAGCTTTTGTAGCTCTTGAGATGAAACTGCGTGACAGATGGACACACAGATACATGGACACACAGACAACCCCTTGTCAGTATGCGTTTTTGCATTGCATAGCTGCAAAAAACGCATAAAAACTAGCAGTATTCAGCCGGGATCCCCTTTGAGACTTTGGGACTTACGCGGACGGGGGACATCCCCTTAAAATTTCAACCTCCTAGCTTTTCTGGTTCGCGAATTAGTGACTTAACCGGAAAAAACTTTGGCGGGCTCTTACGTGGGCACCACACGGGAAAGACCGCCCATTTTGGGGATGGGGGCCTGTACGTGCGTGTAGATTAAGTCCTCGAAGTTTCAGCCCTGTAGCTTTTGTAGGTCTTGAGATGAAAAATCGGCACAGAGGCCCTGCGCGCACACAGACACATACACAGACACAAACACACACAGGCACACACAGACAACCTCTCGTCAATATGCGTTGCATTGCATAGCTGCAAAAAACGCATAAAAAGGGAAGTCGCAGGAGCATACTTCCTCATCCTTTCCCTTCTTCACCGCTCCCCTCTCCCCTTAAATGTACGTTACTTAGTTAATCGGCAAAGGATCTACGCCATTTATTCTTTATATCCATCAATCCCAGCCCCCCTCCCCTGCCTCGAACAAGGCCCGCCACATTCAAACTGGCGCCATCCTCTGTGAGCCAGCCCTACCTGCCGTCGGGAGAAAATTTTTTGCGGCTTGTGTATGAGACGAGCCGAGCGAGTTTGTGTAATTGCCGCAGTTTGGCATCCGTGCCTGCATAAGTATTTGCTGCTGTCGGCCACATGCCCGTTGTGGTGGTGATGCTGGAAAGGGCGGAAGGGAGGAGAAGGAGAGGGCGGGGAGTGGAGTGCAATTGCTGTTCGCGCTAGCTAACCACCATCAATGCGGTTACGCCGCCGTATCTGTTTTGCTTGACGGTTCAGGAGAGGCCAGCTACGGGAATGGGACAGGAGGGATGCTTGGAGCTTTTTACGGCATTCTGACAATAAGTTTGGCTCGAGATTTGTTTATTTGCCTTATTTATTATTTTAGATATGCTAGTGGCAGCTGTTTCAGGGAAAAACTTAGTCGAAAGCGTACCGGCTGCCGGTACGAGGATGCGTTTTTTACATAGTTCCCCCGCAGGTTTTTCTCACCAGTGGTACGCTCTTCTCGGCAGATGCTTCTAGCTAAAAGAATTGTGACTGGCCACCATGACTATTAGAAATTATTACAATGACTCCCAATTCGTGCCCAAAAAATTCAGCGCTCTGGGTGCTTCGGTTGCGGGGCTGCGCCAAATTTCACGTGTTCGTACGTGAGTAGCGACGTGATTGTCTTCTTCGCTTGGGGTTACTTAAAGACGGCCCTAGGTAGTGCTCAAAAAGTTTCAGTACTCAAGCTGCTCTGGTTGCAGTGTTACGTCAAATTTCACGTGTTCGTACGTGAGTGGCAACGTAAGTGCTTTCTTCGCCCGTGGTTGCTCAAACACGGTCCTGGGTAGTGCTCAGAAAGTTTCAGCACTCCAGCTGCTCTGGTTGCAGAGTTACGTCAAATTTCACATGTTCGTACGTGGATGGCAAAGTGAATGCTTTCTGTGCTTCCGATTACTCAGAACACGGCCCTGGGTAACGCTCAGGAAGTCTTAGTACTCCAGCTGCCCTGGTTGCAGAGTTATACCAAATTTCACGTGCTCGTACGTGAGTGGCAACGTGAATGCTTTCTTCGTCCGCGGGTACTCAAAAACGGCGCTGGGTAATGCTCAGAAAGTTTCAGCATTCCAGCTGCTTCGGTTGCGGGGTTACGTCAAATTTCACGTGTGTACACGTGTTCGTACATGATATGCAGAAGAGCTGACAAGTAATTTATTTTCACGGACACAACAGTGGGCGACAAGTAACGCTGCAAAATCGCAGCTCTCTGCAGCTTTTTGATCACCTTAAATCTGGAGTTGGCATGGTGCCAGTTTAAACTTTAACATGTGCGTACGTGAGCCCTGAGGGTGCGTGAGGGCTGAATTTGAAATCTTTGGATTAGACGCGGCCAAGGAACAACTCTGTGAAGTTCCAACCTCCTAGCATGGGCCGTTCCCGAAAACGCTTTCTCGCCAAAAAAACATTCATGTGCCCCTACGTGAAAACCACGGGGAGCTGAGCGTCCGTTTTGAGTATACGAGCCCGCACGTATGTGTAGATTAAGTCACCAAATTTTCAGCCTTGTAGCTTTTGTGGATTTCGAGATGAAAACTCGTTACAGACACACATACATACACAGACAACCCCTCGACAATATACGTTTTTGCATTGCATAGCTGCAAAAAACGCATAAAAATAGCAGAACGGACTTTTCCTTTTTCATTGAGCATAGCGACCGTCATACTGACGAGGCCCTGTCGCGCGGTGTTGAGTTAAGGCGTATATGACGTGATGGATCAAAACGTCTCGTCTCACTCTCACCTTATTCTGTCATGCTGTAATCTATTGCACCTTCGCCATTTAGGCTTCCAGGGTTATCCTGGTTGCTACAGTCGGCTTACAAGAATGGCAGCAGATGATCGCTTCGTATGGGTCAGA